AGCCACAAAAGTGGGAGGTAAATTTGGTTGTTTATCTCTGACAATGGTGTTTCCAGAGCTGAAGCCTTGTAGACACTGATCCCAAAGCACCATGAGCCCAAGGCCTTCAACAGAAGTTTTCTCCTGTGGATGTACAACCAACATTCACTTTCAACACAAGCACATTCCAGTGTGTTTCCTTCACAGAAACTCTTTGGGATATTGATCAGAACTATTTAGAATAAGTACCAGCATGATTTCTGAAGCAGTTTTCTGGAGTTTACAACTACCATGGTGTTGACTGTTTACACATTCTGTCTTCTGCTGTCGCTGTAAGCCATGAATGCAAAAGGCCTGGTCACCCAGCAAACAAAGGATACAGACTGGAGAAATGCCAGGGAAATGAAAAGGTTTTATATGCTTTGCAAGAACGTTTGAGTCATTTGGCCTACTAAAGTGTTTGATGTGCATTCACTGTTGATTGCATTTGTTTTCCAGGCTCACTGCCACTACATTGCAGTGAAAAACTTTGCAGAAACTGTGGAAAAACTCGAGACCAAGGCTGGCATCCAGAAGATTATGAAACATCTCTGTGACCTCTTTGCCCTACACGGGATCTTCTCAAATACAGGGGCCTTCCTGCATGATGGCTACACATCTGCAGCTCAAATGGACATGGTCACAGCATCCTACCTGGACCTCCTGGCTGTCATTCGGTGAGCTGCTTTGGCAGGACACACACAGCTATCCAGTTTATCCCTGTGCTAGATAGAAAAGGGTGCTGCTGTACCTATGGCAACATCTCCACAGTCAATTCACCTCATTCAGTTTTTGTTTGCAGTGCCTGGCAGTACTAGAAATTGATTGAAATGTCTACTCATAGCTTGTTTTCATGGCAAAACAGACTCAAGTGTCCAGCTCCTCTGCAATCTCTAAAGTTCTGTAACATGAAATCTTAAATTATAAATGAAGAAGTCATGAATACTTTCTACCATCTGCAGTAGAGTGAAAGCAGGAAAATATGTAGTCAGAGCACACTGGCAGGAGGCAGCCACAGCAACCCATCACACATTGCAAAATCTGCTTAAGCCACAGCTAATACAGCCTACTCTGTTGCCATGGCTGAGCTGCAACTGGTACCCAAACAATCCTGCCTACAGCTACTTCAGATGCATCTGCTCGACACCATTTATTACCAACTCTGAGTTCTGAGTTAAGGTTTTCACTTACCACAACACTCACAGAGGCTTTTTGACAAAGGGTTCAGCTTTCACTACTCTGTGCTGTTTGTTTAGAACATAGTAACTTGTGGTGCAGAGAAGTTGCTACTGTAGCTAAAATTCTACCTAAGCCACCTGGAGGGAAACAAGAACACACTATAAGCAAGGGCTGAACAGGGCTGAGCCAAACAGCAAGGGTTTTCAGAACTGATAACAGAATCTGAAATAAGTGATAAGCCTAACATAACATTTTCAAAAGCCTAACATGTTGTCTTTGGAATTCACTGCAATTTCTGTGTTAGTCCATGCCTTGTTAACAGGATTCAATAATGGAGTATTTACATATTTACAGTTAGTAGAAAGGATGTAACCACTCCCTGGTCTGTAGCAAAAACACAGCCTTTCCCAAACCTCAGACAACTCTTCTCCAAAGGAAACTGGAAGATAGAAATGCCCACATTTGAGCAAACTGCTTTTCATCCTGCTACCTCAGGTGTGAGGTACAACCAGCACCACTTCCTACCCCCAGCATGATGGAAGGATGAGGAAAAAGAAACCACCTCCTGCTTAGGAGATGCTGCCTGTGCTGTGGCTCTCCGTGCTGTCACACTGTCCCCTGGGCTAGATGGGCCCTTGGGTGGGTCAGGGTTGTTTTGCTCTTACAGATATGAACAGAAGAGCTCAACACCTCGTGATGAGATAATGGAAGTACTGAAAGGCAGATGAAGGTTGAAGATCAGCAAAGCAACTTCACATCAATCTAGTAGGAACCGTATTCCATTTTAGAAAAATGAAACTAAGAAAGACAAAAATCAAAAGAACAAACTGGTAGAGACTACTGAGAAAAAATCTGACATGTGTCCTGAGTTAGGGACGGAGCCAGGGTGAAGACCCTGCAAACACCCACTCAGCAGTGCAGACAACTCAGGGCATTAGTAGAACATCACAGAATCACAAAATTATTAGGGTTGAAAGGGACCTCTGGAGATCATCTAGTCCAATCTCCCTGCCAAGGCAGAGTCACCTGGAGATGTCTCTGAGGAATCAGAACGAGCAAGATTTCCTCCCGCAGTAAAGATAAGGAGGAAAACTGGCATGAGCTTTCCAGGAGAAACCTGGAAACTGCAGTTTATTTTCCCATCTTGCAAAGCAGTACCCTCTCAGTAACAGGAATGCCACTCCTGTGCTCTGTAGGAAGGATGCTGTGCCACTGGTGGACGCTTTTGACTTCACAGACCAGAGCCTGAACTCTGCTCTGGGCAGCTACGACGGGCAGGTTTACCAGCGGCTCTACGAGTGGGCTCAGAAGTCACCCACCAACCAGGTAGGGATGAACTGCAGCTGGGCAACCTCCACAGCAGCCAGGGCAGAAACTGCTTTTCTTCTAACAAAAGCAATACAGATAAGAGACAAGAGCTTTTAATTCCTCTTTGTATCACGTTGTACAGAATAAGCTAAAATAAAAGGCTTTTTAGGTATTATAGAACAGCACTAAATGCAGGGTATTTTCTATACACTAATGCTTCTACTAGTGCAAAACTTGGGGTTTTAAATGTTTAACCAGAGAGAGTATAAGTGTTAAACAAGGCAATTTGATCCTTCACAATCTTTAGAGATTTGCTTTCTCAATTCATACTGTGGAGCAATGTAAAAATTTTTTGTGATGTAAATGTGTGATCTTTAGAGCTTTGCTTTCTCAATTCATCCATACTGTGGAGCAATGTAAAAATTTTTTGTGATGTAAATATGTATTGCTGTGTTTGAAAACCCATTTGGCCTTGAGTGAGATTTTTACTGTGGTAATCGGTATCCCTCTGAAATTCCACAGCTGAACACAAAATTTGCCTTCAGCAAATATTCAAGTCCAAGCATATTTTCTGAGGTTAAACAGTATGCTGTCCCCTTTGGGATGAGTGTGGTGTGCTGGTTATGAAGGACAGCACATATAATAGGGAAAAAGTTCTTGCACATAGTTGAGGTAGCTTCTGGTTTGTTGGTTGCTTTTTTTTTTTTTAAGTAGTGCAGCTTTATGTATTTCAGAGATTGTTCTTAAGAAAAAAAAAATAGCCTTTCCCTTCTTAATTGCCATAATTCCCTTCCACATTCTCTTTCTGAACAGATGAGCCCAGCCTACGAGAGGTATTTGAAGCCACTTCTGCACAACACGCTATCGAAATTATGAAGAACATGTTCAAAGTGAAGGGCACACATTTCCTCCTGTTCTTTGTGCAGCAGTACATTTATGAAGCATCAGTAATGACTAATCAAAATTAATAATCAGTTGCTTACTTGCAGTTACAACAAGTATGAAAGATTCTCAGCCAGCCATTTGCAATTAGACAGATGCCAGCAGTGCTGAGTGGTACCTGCAGCTGTGAGACAATCTAGTCAGGAATGGTCCAGGGTTCACTGTTTTCTATCCTGAAGTGTCTTGACAGCATCAAAACTCTCTCATTTGACTTTCTTATTCTCTTTCTAAATCCACTATATGATGATTGAGGAAAAAAAAACCACCACCACACTGTGAACCCTCTCTCAGTGTGTTGTAACCATATAGTGCCTTCAAAAAACCCAAAACAACCAACTTTCCTGAAAAATCCATGGTGAAATCACGATCCTTTGTTTTTAGGAACAAGTTGTTCTCTTCAATCAGAAACTATATTAGAAAGTGCATCTGTTTTGACAATTAAAATAGCTCTTGATTTGCTCAGTACTGGAATATTCCTGCCTAATGAAGATGCAGACAAAGCTGATGCCAGCTCCAGTCTGCAGAATTTACCTTCCCATTAAGAGAGCTGCTCATTCCTATAAATCTTGAGCTCCAATAAAGTGCATTATTTGGAATACTGCTTCTCTAATTATTATACTTCATAATTATGGAAAGGGCAAGCTGATCCAGGCCAGTCATTAATTTGCTCATAAATTAAGTGTTGCAAAGAACATCTTGTGATTATAATTCAATGCCAGTTAACACGAGTATTTCTTACCACGTGTTGCAAGAAAGAAACAACTTTTCCTGAGCTTCTTCAGTTCTGCTTCTCTTCCCTCCTTGATAGCAAGAATAAAGCTCTCATTGCTGCCTCTTATTACGTAAGTCAAACGCCTGCAATGTATGAACAGGAAGAGACAAAATAGGACAGAGAAATACCCCCAAGACAGCCTTTAGAGCCAGATATGGGATGGAAAGCTCCTGCCTACGTGGGACAAGAACTTCATGGGAAAACAGGATCCACTCCAGGAAACAGATACCAACTCCCTTACTGCCTGCTGCTACCAAGTTAGATCATAACCAGAAATTCTGTTAATAACTATGACCAAGGGACCAGGATAAGTAGAAATGTCTGTATGAAATTGAGTAAAGCCACAGAATTTGAGTGCCTTGACTCGAACATAACTAGAAAAAGCATTCTGCAGTTAGAATTATAAAGTCACTACATGAAGTGCTGACAAACCAGGCAACTCTATCAGCAGCTACAAGTATTTAGGCTTTGTGTTCCCTCCATCCCTACCCCTTTAGCCAGTACAAATATTTGCCATCTTTCTATCAATCTAAAGCAGTTTTCAGAACACAAGCTTTGTCTATAATGAAGACATTTTAATCAACTGATTAACATAAAAAGGAACAACTTACATCATTAATGGAAGAAACCAGGGCCCTACCAAAACACCCAAACTACTCAGCAGGACAAAAAAAACAGGATTTGACTGGGAGGTTTTTTGTTTGGTTGGGTTTGGTTTTTTTGTATGAGAATTCTAAAAGTATGAGAATTCTAAAAGACAAAAAGAAAATACAAAACAGTATTCTGTATTTCACATTTTTATTAGCTTCTTCTGGCAGGCATTACACTTGGGAATAATATTGCACCAGGCATTAAAAATATGAATTCTACCACAGGGACATTTTGCATTTAGAATCCAATATAAATATTTGTAATCATATTTCCATGGCTACAGATAATATTTGGTTGCTTGATTTATATGCATAGAAAGAAACAGTTGTCATAACTGTAAGAAACTGTACTTATCAAGTACTTTTAAAGGGTGGGATTTGTTTTCCTAGAATATTACAATACTGTTTATTGATTTAGAAACTAAATTAGTCTACACAATAGCAGCTTCTCCCCAACTGCATTTTAAAATCTTTTTTTTTTGTTTCTTGCTCCCAGTGTCATAGCATTAGGTGGATTAGAAACCATTTAAACAAGAGGTAATTTTAGCACTTTGAGTTGAGTCAGAGAATTGTGTTAATGACACAAAATACCCTATTGTACTGATTCTTCGGACTCCCTCTTTCAAACAAAAAGGTGTCTTGACTGAACAGGCACATGCACGGTTTTTTTTCTGAACTGGACAAAAGAACAGAGCTGCTAGAGAATGAAACTCCTCCAGTCCTCACTGATAAACAATAAATACTCGTATAAAAAAAGCCCATATTGTTGCTGTAGTCAAAATCCAGACTCTCTTGGGTTCACTGTCCAATTAAGTTGCTAATCACTGAAGTGGCTCCTGTGGAGTCAGAATCAGTCATCTGTTTTCCGTGCCAGCCTGCAGAAAGTCCAGTTGTGTTCCACTGTGTTTTCATTGGCACGCTCGCTCATGTGATGGACTCTGGTGTTGCGGATCGTGAAGCCTTGCTTTGTGATGTACTCCATGAGATGCACTCGCAGCGACACTTCCTGGTGGTAATCGCACGGCCCGAAGGTGAAGGACACCTGGCAGTCCCTGGTGTCCATCATGTGCTTATTCCACTTGGTGAAGTGGTTCGAAATGCCTTCCAGCAGCGCGTGGACTTTCGTCGTGATGGTGAGCTGCGTGATGATCACGGCCACCGGGTTGGAGTACTTGGAAAGCTTCCGGGTGCTGGACAGCTCCACCACCTCCTCAAAGGTATCCACAGGATACAGCGGCTTGGGGTCATTAAGACACTGAATTAAGGGTTCAATCTGATAGAAGTCTGCTTCCTTCCGGAGCAGGTCAAACTCCTTGAAGTCCAGTGGCAAAGTGAGCTCTGAGGTCCTTAAAAAGTTAAGAACATAACGGAAAAGTGGTCCATCTCTGTCAATAAAGTAATTGCCCTGAGAGTCCCTGGCAGTGGGGAAGTCTCCCCTGAACATGGCCCCGAGCATTGAGTCAGGATATCTCGTTAGAGTTGTGAGGGAGGTCGTATACATGTGTCCACCCACATTTAGCGTGACTGGATCAGTCATCTAGAAAGAGAGAAATCGCAGAGTTTATCAAGCCCCAACAAGAAGATTCGATCACCTTGCTGACACACACGGCAAATACTGCTGGAAAACTGGGGGAATCGCGCTTCTCCTGTTTAGTGCCTCTAAAGCTCTTCAAACCTGAACAAATCCAAGCCACCTAGCAACAAGGCACAACTGGCAACTGGACAGGATGATACTTAGCATGCAGAATGCACATTTCTAGAATGCTTTAGAAATCTTAACAACTGAGCTACTGTCGCAAGATCGAGTTTAGCATTCGGGCAGCAAGTTTTTCCTATTCTACAGATGGGGAAATGAGAACAGAGAAATTTCCTGAAGAACAAGTTAGTCAGAATGAGGCCCAGCAGTGTTCCTTACTTTCACAATCTGTCTCTCATTCTAGAACAAAACCAAAACAAAAAAAGGGAAAGAAAAAAAATCAGCCAAACAAATGTTAAGCCTCTTTTTATCCCTCAAAAAAGGAAGACAATGCAGGTTTAAACACGGGACCAAGAGCTCACAATCAAAATTATCCACACTTTGGCTCAGAGACTTCATTAAAACAGGCAAGGGAGAAAAAGAACTTTCAGCTTTTAACTCTAGAAAGAAATATTTATTAACAAATTAGTGTGTCGCATAGAAGTCGGGAGCAGAGCACAAACCAGTCTGTATCAGATTCCAGATAGCACATGAGGAAGCAAAAGAGAAAGGAACATAAATCCCATCTGGCCACCAACTCTAAAAACCAGGACTGCAGCCAGCCAGAGAAAAGAGACATATGCATGGCAGCAGAATGAGAAGGGGAGGAAAATAAGATGTGCTTGTCTAGCTTGAGACAAGGTTTACAAGGAAAAATACTTTTCTCGATAAATAAAATGACAGAAGTCCTTAAAATAATAAGGAGGAAGCATAAACTATTTTTGGATTTTGCGTTAGGAAAATGGAAATTGAGCTCAAGGCATCAGTTCAGTCCTGGCTGACTGTCCCCAGCAATGTGAACCTGGGCACTCCCCACAAACTGCACAGGAGGTGCAGCACTCCAGGGAAGGTGTGTAAGCTGTTGTAAAGCTGTTTTAACAGGCTCAGTTTCCCTTCTCTCACGACTGAAGCTCTGGATCTACAGGAGGCAGATCTGGGAGGATTCTTGCTGCAAGACCTCAGAAGCCCAGTTGTGCCCAGTGCACACTTGCACTCACCATATATCCCCAGTCTCCATTATCCATCTGTTCACGTGCTTGAGCTGTGGTATTCCAAGTTTAACAGAAGGCTGCTGAAAGGATACACAATTCCTCTCCTCTTATCTCCCTGCAGGAGAAAGCACACACAAACACAGAATAAAACATGGCAGACCATCAGTACCTACAAGAACACCAGGGGGAATGGTTTCCAATCAGAGGCAGGCTCTCTGCCAGGAAAGCATTCATAGCTACAAAGTCACATTAGCAGGAGAATCTGCAAACCCTCTTTTCCCTCCTTCTCCCATCATATTACCCACAGGACTGTCTCTGGAGCACACCTAAGCACTCCACCAGTTGCCTGAACATCTCAGTTTTCTTGAATAACAAGCAACGTGCCTCTGAGGGCAATACATGTTCACAAGCAACCTTTCACCTGGGAAAATGTGAGTACTTTGAAAGACAGATGTCATCTTCCCAATTAAAAAAGTTTATTTAGCCACCTCTGAGGTCACACACATGATCTGTTAATATTAGTCAACATTCCCATGCTCCAGTTTCAAACTGCTCAGGAAAATAAATCAAGCATGAAAGTCAATGAACACTAAGAAGAAAAAAACCCTCACTGCAGAATTAATAATTCAGTAGTGGAGAACTGCAACTGATAGTAAGAACATTAATCTAGAGACAAAGAGTATGAAAGGACTTCCCAGACACCTACTCTCAACAGCAATCTCTGTAGGGACAAGCCAGAGGACATCTAACATGCTGTCAACACACTCCAACAAAAGCAATTTGAGAAGAGATTCCTGCTGTGACTTCCCAGAAGATGCTGAACTGTTGACTTGCATAACAAGGGGACTGTCCACACAAGCACAAGGCAACTCCACAGCCAGACTGTGCAGCTCAAGAAGGGGGAAGTGAATGACCTCAGAGCCCAGTGTTGATGTGCCAAAGGTGGCCTGTCAACCTTGTCAAGCGATGGAAGGACAGGGAAGCCAGTCATCAGCAAGCCTTTATCCCTACCCAGAGCCTGCCTCTCTGCTAGAATTGCTGAAAATTTAGGTCAGCCTGTTTTAAGTAGGGTAGAGCTTCTCAGCTTTGTTTATTTTTACATCTTAAAAGACCACACAGTTCCCAAGACTTCTGATCCCATCCTCTTTACTAACAAACTTCAACATACAGCCACCCAGCTGAAGGCAGCACAAAGATTTAGCCAAACCAGAGCCCCACACTGCAAAATGACTGAATGTTCACAGTTAATTCCCAACCAAAAAAGATAACTTGCCCTTCTCATTCCTAGGAAATGAGGTTGGTCTCATTCACCACAGAACAAGGCAGCACATCCCACCTCTCTGTGCCCTGCTGCCCTGCCCAAATCCACAGCCTGGGCAAAACAGTGTCCAGCAGGTCAGGTCTTTGGGACCCAGCAGCACAAGCACAGCCCCAGCTGCATCTCAGGTGGATTAAAGAGTAAAAAAAACCAAATATGAAAATAGTGAGGTCAGACAACAGAAGACTAAGGAATACTAAGATACAGAACAAGTCATACCAGGATCCTATTTTTACAAATTAGAGACAGAGCATGCCTCAAGAGAGTACATTAAAGCACATCCCCCAACAGCAGATAAACCTGGAATGCCAGCTCTTTTGCCAACCTCTGTAATTATTTTTTTAACTGCTCACAAATCAAGAAGTGAATTTTTTCAGGGTTTTGCTGTTTCATTTTGTTTTGGTTTTTTTAGGGGTTTTTTTGGTTTGGGTTTTTTGTGGGTTTGTTTGTTTGGGGATTTTTTTTGTCTGGTTATGGTTTTTGTGGGTTTTTTGGAATTGTCACTCAAGTACAATTTGTAAACTTTTAGCAATAGACCAGACCTTTTAAATTCCAGCACTTGAAGGTGTAACTCTGGTCAAGTACAAGACAAGGATAACATGCAGATGCATTAAAACCATATGAGACTGGTACAGGTTTCTGATACTCACTTGAGAGTGAAATGATGCAGCCAGCCAGAAACCTCGCCAGTAATCATGACAGAAGAGATCTGCAGTCTTAATAAAATTAACTCAAATTACACATCTAGAATATTTCAAAGGCAGAGATGTCCATCAGTGTTAATTTAACTAGTGAATATGAGGTTATTTTGGACAGCATGTAAGTCCAGTACAGATGAATCAAGACTTCATCAGGGAAAGAAAGAGATGACACTGCAAGCCGGTGCAAAGGCGTGATTTAATCTTTGATCACAGCACTGCTGTGTAACACCGGAGTGAAAAATTTACAAGAGCAATCATCTGGAACAAACCTAGCCCTGAACATATAAAGGGCATGGAGAAATCTCTGTGACCTTTGTGTAAGGACCGAGAACCACAAGGCACACACAGACCTCCCTGGCAGAGCAGTGCTGGAGCGAGATGTGCCACACAGAAGCACCCTCTCTTCCCTCCTTCTCCCACCACATTACCCACAGGACTGTCTCTGGAGCACACCTAAGCACTCCACCAGTTGCCTGAACATCTCAGTTTTCTTGAATAACAAGCAATGTGCCAAGAGCCATCCCAAAATGCCCGAGTGTGATCCCAACTCTTCACTACTTCCCTCGTCAGCCTGGGAGCTCTGAATTTCTAGATGACTTCACAGGTGAAAGTAGCTTAGTTTGGGTACAACCTGAGCTAAGGACTCACCAACCACATCACAGCAAGGCTGGGGATGGACACCCTTCATGACACATGCCCTTTCAATGATGCTTTAATCCTCCTGAATGGGATACAGTGATCACCAGGGGTTGGGCAGACACTCCATCCATCCCCCAGCACGGGCAGCCTCAAGCCAGCTCTGTCCTTGTGTCACACACCAACGGACTGCACGCAGGGACAAGCTTGCCAACACAGCTACTCCTGTCCAGACAGCAAATTACAGATGACACACAGTCACATCCCAAGGCAGCCTACATTTGATAACCACTAAAAATATTTGAAGTGAAATTCAGTCAGACAAATTGCTGACACAGTTCAGCCAAACAGGATGTCCCTCTCTGGTGGGAGCAGATGGTGTCAAAGCACAGTCCTGCTGTCGTGACACTGCTCTGCATGCAGGGACAGGACACACAGCAGTGACACGGTCACTGGGGCTCCTGCCACAGCCCAGCACAGCCAGAACTGGAATGGCACAGTGAGAAGCAAGAAAAGCACTCAGGTCATCACTTTATACTCAACACACCAAACGGGATACCTGCATTTATAAAACACTCACTCTTATTTCATATGTTATGACTCAGAGGATTACAAGGCTGTTTATCAGCAACACTGCTGCAACAGGTAGTGCCACTAACTCCAGCAGGGCTTCTCCCAGAACACAGCTGCAAACCAGTTTGCAAGCTGAAATTCAAAGAAAGCATTTCAGAGTCAGATGAACGTCTGCACCTGTGAAAACACACACACAGACACACACACACACTCAGCAGGGATGCCAGCAGCCCTGCCAGGCATTCCCACTGCTGGAACTACAGGCTACCACCACTCCTGGAGAGACCCCTGCAATGGTGCAACGTGCAGTTACTCGAGGAGCAGAAATACATTGTAAGTTAAGAGGCACAGACCACCTGATTTGCTCTGAATGTTCTTCATCTAGTTTTTCAAACAGAAGAATTAAGGGATTGACTCATGGCAATAGCCTTTCATGGGCAGTTTGGTATCCACAGGCTGTTCAACCTCGAGTTACCTTTGATTCCTACATCAACAGAGAGATGGAAGGATCTCTCGCAGCAGCAAGTTAAAAATGAAAAAGAGCAAGGTAAGACTCTGACATACACTTGGCATTTCAGCTACTCTCCCCCTTTGTGAGCTCCCTGCCTCTCCCACTTGGATCTCACAAGATGAGAAGAAACTCCATCCACCAGCACAGTTATGCTGTACAGGGACAACATCTTTCCCAGCCAGTCAGAATATGTGAAAGGCAAGTTCTTACTGTAAATTATTGGTGACTCACCTGAACTGACAAACACTGAGCAGCACCAGTGCTGACTGTTCTCCACCAAACTACAGTGAGCTGATGGTCTGCAGAGCAAGCCCTGAGCTCCAGCTCCGTGCCACCCCAACCGGGGCAGTGAGGAGGAGGAGGAGGAGCGTTCTCAAAACAACCAGTTACCAAATCTTCAGGCAATTCAGCAGATCAGCTTCACTAAAGAAAGCACCTACTACCTTCTACACATGTCAAGTTTATCATGACTAATGCAGCTTATTAGAAGTTAACTTAGCTCTTGCTTTTCTTGAGCTGTTTTTTACAAATACTCAGTCTTTACCCCAGGCAGGATGGAAAAACGCTCACGCTAGCCACTCAACATCTTCTCCCCTTTATGTTTAATTGCTTCACTACAAATTCCAAGCTCCTGAAGTTTCCATCCCTTCCCCAAGGAGCTCTATGGCATCCTGTTTTAAGTCCTGATTCCAAACCTTTATTTCAATTGCTTCTTGTTGGAAGAGCCCACATCCCAGTACAACTTTGGCCCTCCTATAAGATCCAAAGGAGGACTCTAATATTCAGCCTGGTCCTGCTGAAGCAACCCAGGGCACCCAGGCTTCCAGAACCTGTGATAATAATTAGGTTTATCCACGTGTGATATTGACCAGTGTTTTTTCATTGAGGAAACATGTCTCTGAACAGTTTTGGCGGCAGGCAGGTGTCAGAAACACAGAGCCTCCCTGCACGCAGATGGGGCTTAGCACACGTACGGACCAAGGAGTGACAGCAACACGGGACAGAAATCCCCCCCGAAAGCCCAGAGCGGATCCAGGGCTTCAGCAGGAGCCGGGAAGTGCCCGTTTCCATCCCAGAAGAGCCAAGGAGATCGCGGTAAAAGAACTCTCCCCCGGATCACAGTGATTCAGCAAAGATGCTGCGAATTAACCCGTTCTGCCTCTCCCCGCAAGTGCCCCAGGAGTGCCCGGCCCGACCCGCACCCCAAAACAGAGTCCCAGCCCTGCCTCCGCTCCCGGCTCCGGAGCAAAGCCCACGGGTCCCGGACCCTCCGTGCCAGGGATCACCGCCGGGCTCCCCCCGGGCACCGCCCCCGCGCCCTGCCCGGGACGGGACCCCGCAGCCCCCGTCCCGTCCCACCGACCGCGGGGCCTCCGCTCCTGTGCCCGGCCGGGCCCGCCCCGGGAGCCGGGTGCCGGAAGTGGCGCAAGAAAGCCGCGCGCTTCTCGCCGCCGCCCGCGCGCCGCGGGCGCTCTCGCGAGAGCCGGGGAGGCGGAGCCGGGCGGCCCAGGGCGAGAGGACACGGGCAAGATGGCGGCGGCCCTGCGGCACCTGGCGCTGTGCGCCCGCCTCGCCCCGCGCGGCCGCAGCGCCGGGACCCCGCTCCAGCGGCTCCAGCAGCGCAGGGGCCTCCGCCTCTCCGCGCCCAACGCCATACAGGTAGCGGGGCGGGCTGCCCCCGGAGAGGGGCTCGCGCCCCTCAGGAAGGGTCCGGCCCCGGGGCGGGCGGGCGGTGAGGTGACTTCGCCCCTGGTTTGAGGTGACTCCCGGCGGGCCCCGCTCAGCGCGCCTGCCGCTGTCTCGCAGGTGACGGTGCGGGACGCGCTGAACCAGGCGCTGGACGAGGAGCTGGAGCGGGACGAGCGCGTCTTCCTGCTGGGCGAGGAGGTGGCACAGTACGATGGCGCCTACAAGGTGCGTGCGAGACTTTGGCGGCCCGGGACAGGGCTTCGGGCGGGCCCTGACTCCTTTCTCCTGCCCTGCAGATCTCCAGGGGTCTCTGGAAGAAGTACGGGGACAAAAGGGTGATCGACACCCCGATATCCGAGGTGAGGCTGCCCTCTCTCCTGCCCTGGTGGTCCCTCCATCAGCTGCTCCCTGGTCCTCATCCCTTGGTTTCCCTCTCTTTCAGATGGGCTTTGCAGGAATCGCTGTCGGTGCTGCTATGGTTTGTACATTTGCATTCCTCTACGTCTGGTTTTAAAAATGAGGCTGTTTATGTCAAAAACCACATTTCGATACATTTAATAGGCAGGGTTGAGACCGGTGTGTGAATTCATGACGTTCAACTTCTCCATGCAAGCGATCGATCAGGTGATCAACTCGGCGGCCAAGAGCTGTTACATGTCCGCCGGCTCCATCTCGGTGCCCATCGTGTTCCGCGGCCCCAACGGCGCCTCGGCGGGCGTGGCCGCCCAGCACTCGCAGTGCTTCGCAGCCTGGTACGGACACTGCCCCGGCCTCAAAGTCGTCAGCCCCTGGAGCTCCGAGGACGCCAAAGGGCTGCTGAAAGCATCCATCCGGGATGACAACCCAGGTGAGCACGAGCGGCTCGTGGCTGTGGCACTCGGTCCTAACGAATGTCTGGTTTTCCCCACAAAAACAAGGATTGGTTAAAGCATGAAGCGCTCGAGGTTGACTTACTGCAGTTGGAGGGACACAAAAAGACACAGAGGGATTCGTGGTTTCTCTAATAGACTGATTCTGTGGTGCTGCCAGGTGCAATTTTAGTGCTGGTTTGGTATCAGCCAGGAGACCTGGAAGCATTTATAAATCTATCATAAAAGGGTTAAAAAGGGTGAAGATGAGTTAGGAGAATTATTATGTTCCTGCATATATAGTGCCTATGTAACTCAGTTTTACAGACCATGGAATTCAAATGAAAAATTCAGAATGTCCTTATTCAAGAGCAGGGCAACCTTTGACTTTTTATTTTCACAAACAGTAATTAAAAGTAGGAGACTTTTCTAAAACTAGTGATTTTATTGTCATGTAAAATAAAATTATTTTTATTTAACATGACATTTACTATGTTTATTTTACATTACATATGTGATATTTATTTTACATAAAAGTAAAAGAGCTCACCTAATTTCAGAGAAGTTGTAGAAGTTTTTAAAATAATTCATTATTGAAATAAAGACTTTGATTTACTTTTTTTTTAATTCCTTCTGCAGACATAATCCTCACTCCCTTGTTGTGTGGGTTTACTGTCTTGAGCTGCAGGACTGTTAATGCTCAGTGCAGGCCTGTGCCTGCAGGTGTGCACACTAATCCAATTGTGTTTCCTTCCAGTTGTGATGCTGGAAAGTGAACTACTCTATGGTGTTCCCTTTGAAATGTCTGAACAGGCACAGTCAAAGGAATTTGTTATTCCCATTGGGAAAGCTAAAATAGAAAAGCCAGGTAAGCTGAGAATGCATTTGTTTCTCTATTAACTGACATGCTTGGAGACTTTTCTTAACCTCTCATCTGTTCAGGGTGCTGCTGTCATAGGGCACAGAAAAGTATTTCAAATGTTAAGTGTTCAAATGTTCTTTTATCCATTAGTGTGGTTTCATGTTCTGCTGCCCTTACAAGGAAGTGTTACCTGATTGTCCATTTCTCAGCTTAAACTGTACCCTTCTAAAGGATTCCAGAAAGGATTTGTTCTGTAGTACAGATTGGGTAGGTGATGGCTGAAACAGTTTTTTCCTCACCTAAGTATGTGATTTTGGTCAAAAATGCAAAAAGAGATCACTGTGGTGTTGCAGCCCACTTATTCATAATTTACCTCTGAATTATATGAGCATTTGAATAGGATAATGTGAAAACTGTATTAAATACCTCTTCAGTTCCCTGAGTTCAAGGGCAAAATCTGTGTCTTAACATGGTCCTTCCTCTCTTCATACTATGACAAATTCAGATAAATTCTGGGCTCATTATTTCAAACAAACCTAAGAACCTTAAATTGACAAGTGAATCCTAATGCTACCTTGAAAGGAGCCTGAGGTCTAGAAAAAAGCTTTAAATCTCAAGAGGATTTTTCTAACACGGGATTCTGTTCTAGGAACTCATGTTACATTAGTGGCACACTCAAGACCTGTTGGCCATTGTTTGGAAGCAGCTGCTGTACTTTCTAAAGAAGGTGTAGAGTGTGAGGTGAGTGGGGTTTGGGTTGCTTTTCTCTTTTGCTGAAGTGGGGGGAAAAAAGCAGCATCTTCTTGTTCAAGCTCTGCAGAACTTCAGTGTATTACCTGCAAGGGTCTTAATACTTACAAGTGCCCCAAGAGCACGTGCCTTTCACGTGTCTGAGTTAGACATTTTATCAAGTCTTGTCTCTGGAGTCAGGAGAGCTGAAGTGCTGAGGGGCCCTGTCCCCAGGCAGTGGTGGCTGACAGGCTGAGGTCACAGCCAGGCTCACACTGTCCCTTGGCCCAGGTCATAAACCTGCGAACCATTCGCCCCATGGACATCGAAACCGTGGAAGCCAGCGTGGTCAAGACAAACCATCTGGTAACTGTGGAGGGAGGCTGGCCCCAGTTCGGAGTGGGAGCTGAAATCTGTGCCAGGATCATGGAAGGTACTCAGTTTCACAGTACATTGATCTCATTCCCTGCTCTAAATCCTGATTAGTCTTGATGAAGCCAGGCAAAAGCAGAGTTAGGGATTACATCAGATGAGCTGGTGCTGTCTTACTCTAGAGATTTTCACAGGGTGGTGACCAAACCCCAGAGTGCGTGAACACCAACAAGCCAGAACGCTGCTTTCTGGAATATTAGAGCCACAGGAACAAAATTGTTTAGAGTCAGATCCAGAAACTGAATCGAGATAAAAGCACAGTGCTTGGCAACCTGACACTGTCTTCTGTTTCAGGACCTGCCTTTAACTACTTGGATGCTCCAGCTGTCCGTGTCACCGGTGCTGATGTCCCCATGCCTTACGCAAAAATCTTAGAGGATAACAGCATACCTCAAGTGAAGGATATAGTATTTGCAGTGAAAAAAGCTTTGAATATGTAAATTGTAAATAGAAGTTTTAAAATCCTGCTCTACAAGGCATTCTTGGTGTTGGGCACGTTGTATGCATAATTTCTGTTGTATAAGCTCCATGATCTTTTGTACAGTGGGGAAAGTATAGTGAGCTCCCAAAATATTTATATGGGGTTACCCCCCCAAGCCACACTTCCTGTATGCAACAATGTGGTAATGCTTGTTTGTTCAACAGTACAGCCGGGTTAGTGCAACTGTTTGTGGAGAAACCCTTTTCTAAATCCAGAGAGAAGGAAAAATCCTCTGGTTTTGCTTGCCTTACCAGAGGAGCTGTGTTGAAGCTGCTGCAGCAGTGATTGAGTACAGAGCTGCAGAGAGCAAGAGCAGGCCTTGAATGCTGTACAGCTGCAGGAGCCTGTGGTTGCAAGGCTCCTTAAAGAGGAATGATCAGGCTGATCCCTGAAGCCCAGCCTGTCAGTGCAGCAGTTCACTGCAGCTCTGAGCAGAGGCTGTGGCAGCCCAGGGGCTGGGTTAAGAGATGGTGGCTGTGTCTGAAGAGCACTCTGCACATGCAGAAAGGCTTCTGTACAAGAGCTGAAATAAAGATCCTGAACCTTTCCACTGTGTGATGGGAAACAATACCTAGTTTTTCTTTACTAGCTGCTATGTAACAGTGATTTTTAAAAAATGCCCAGATGCTTTGCTTTTACTATTTATGTTTCTTGTGGTTTCTTTTTTTTTTGAACTCCCCACCTGGGCTGACAACAGCACACTCTTACTATAGTTCTTGCAGTGCGAAATGAGTTGGTTTATTCAGCTGCACTGAGCCTAAGCAGGAGCTGTGTGGACTGTGTATGAAGAGCTGGGACCCATCCAGAGCAGCCTTTTGGAGATCACTGCATCCCAGGGAGCTCTGCCAGGCTTCCCTCAGAGCTTCTGGTACAGAGGGAAAGCTGCCTTGAGGAGCCTGTGCAGCAGCGTCTGCTCTGCCCCTCGGGTAAATGGGGGGAGAGGAACTTCTGTAAGCAGACAGGAGAGCTTGGCTCCTGTTCCTGAGAGCCAGGAGCACTCCCCAGGGTATTTCCTTTAGCAGAGGTGCTGATCAGTTCTTGGGAGGTCTGGCTTGGACGTTGAATCCCACCAGAACATAGCCACGGCATGCTGCTGAACGAATTCCATTAACATTTTAATAAAAATGACTGGATATCACAGGTTACATGAGACTTTGTACAGACATTCTCTGCATAGTAACAAACACTGATGTACTTGAATTTAAAAAAATGGATTATCTATAATCCTTTAAAGTGCAATTTGTTTAAGGTTTTAAATCAAAAAGGATCTTTCAATAAAGTTTAAATGATAGAATTAACTTGAAGTAACTTTTCATTTAATTAAATCAACAATAACATCCCAGTGCCCTATAACCTCCCACTTC